TCTTTCTTTCTTTCTTTCTTTCTTTCTTTCTTTCTTTCTTTCTTTCTAATAGCTGCCTAAGACTCTAGGTCTCTTCTGTCAAAAAAATTTATGGACTAAACTATTTCTTGGGGAATATTGTTTTCTTCCCCTTGCATCTTTGCAAATGATCTAGAATCATGCTGATTTGTATGCAAAAAGGGAGAAAAATATTAGAGATTATCCCTCCAATCTCATGGTTTTTGAATAAAGACATTTTTATATTTCACTTCAAAAATAGCACCAGGAAGATTTGATGGAATAGATGTATATTTGCCACTTCTTTAAGGTGATTGGGACTTTGTGAATCCCGAGATAACCCTTTCTCCTGGAAGTCTTTTTGTTTTCCCACCTGGTATCTCTGGTGTTGACAGACTGTGGAGAGCCATAATGCCATCTTGTGACCATGCAGGTTTATAGCATGTTGGTCTACTGATGGAGCCTTGCTAACCTGTTTGTTCATTCCTTCATTTATCCATCCATTTGTACATCAAATATATAGAGAACACCTGTTTGCCTAGCAGTGCGTATAGTAAGGTAATGAGTAAAACTTCATTTCTGCCCTTGCAGTATCCACACATAGGAAAAACTTCACCCATATGTGCATGGATCACATACACACATGCACATGCACACACAAGAGGAACACAGAGTAATACTGTAGTACTGTAAGGCTTACATCAGAGGCATGTAAAAGAAACATGGTTGGGGGCACCTGAGTAGCTCAGTTGGTTAAGCATCCGACTCTTGATTTCAGCTCAGGTCATGATCTCACAATTTGTGGGTTTGAGCCTCGCATTGGGCTCTGTGCTGGTAGTGCAGAGCCTACTTGGGATTTTCTCTCTCTTCCTCTCTCTCTGCTCCTCCCCCACTTGCACACACTCTCTCTTTCTCTCAAAGTAAATAAATAAAATGAAAAAAGAAACATAGATGAGGAGACACCTAAGAAGAAATGGCCCACACTGGTTGGTAGGGTAGGGAAGGAGACTGGGAGGAAATGACACCATCTACGTTTTTTCTGTTAATCTGTCAGTATAAGGGGAAAATGGGAGTTTCTATTGAACAGGTATAAGATTTCACTTATACAAGATGGTTAAGTTGTAGAGATCTGCTGCACAACATTGTGCTTAGAGTTAACGATGCTGTATTACAGAATTAAAAATTTCTTAAGGGTGCAGATCTCATGGTACGTATTCTTACTATGTGAGATAGAGACAGAACTTTAATGTGGCAAGTTCATGATGTTGCCACACACTCTTAACCGTTCTGAGTCCTTAAACACCTAGGAGGTAGTGTGACCCTAGTATCAGTAAAATTATAATCATTCATTATTTGTTCAAGAGTGGCTGAGTCACCTTTTTATTTTGGGAACCTATCTGACTCTTCTTTACATGAAAGAGAATTGTTTCTTAAAAAATAAATGGAAAATCATGGTGTTTGGACTACCTAAGTTAATAGGCGGCTATTACAGTCTACCCATGGGTGGTCTCTGTAAGAAAACCAAAAAAGAAACAAAAAACGGTTAGAGGGTGATTACTTTTGACTAAAGATTAATTGCTACCCAACAGAAGAAGCATTCCTAATAGAGCCTTCTGTATGTTATCTTTGCAAAATGACTTCGTTGACAGAAAGATGTAGGACAGTTTTGCATGTGGATGATAAAACATCAGTGTCGCCAAGGATCTCTTCCTGAGTTATTAACACCCAAATCTAATTAGGAGATTTCAGCTAAGGGTTGCAGAATTACTTTTCATGAGATTTGGTTGATTAAGTCTTAGGATGCTCACAATCCAGTTTTCGTGAGAAAGAAACTATTATTCAGTAGAATGTGTATTTTATAAAACATAAAATCTGTCTATAAAATATGTTCTATAAAATCTATATGCAAAACATCATAATCATTTTAATAAATTGTGCTCTAGATTAATAATTTTTACAGTTTTGACATCTCTATGTTTTTGATTTTGTTAGGTATTAATGAGATAAAAACACCTAGAGGTACCCAGTAATCCCACACAAAAAGCTAGAAGTTACTTTATTACTAACTTCTACATAGGAACCCTTTATTGAATTTTTATTCCAGCTTAATAATTGCTAAACATTTATTTTTTATACTTTAAGAAATAACTAACTTTCAAGAAATTTAAAAAATGTTACCTTAGATGTATTTCATAGGACTTCAATAGGTTAGCTGCTACTTTGGGCTCTGATTTTTTTTTTTTTTTGTTTATTTATTTATTTATTTATTTACAACATTTATTTGTTTTTGAGACAGAGAGAGACAGAGCATGAACAGGGGAGGGGCAGAGAGAGAGGGAGACACAGAATCTGAAACAGGCTCCAGGCTCTGAGCTGTCAGCACAGTGGGCTCTGATTTTTTGAAATCTGATCCACTCAAGTGTTCCTCTAACAACTAAAATGGAAATGATAATTGTTAATTTTAGGAGGCTTACATATTTTTTGATTACCACTCATTATATTATTATTATTTTTCCCCCCGAGAGAGCATGTGCTCATGTGTGTGCATAAGAGGGAGGGGCAGAGGGAGTGGAAGAGAGAGAATCCCAAGCAGGCTGCAAGCCCAACATGGAGCCCGACTCGTCCTTGGTCTCAGGACCATGAGATCATGACTTGAGCTGAAATCAAGAGTCAGATGCTTAACTGACTGAGCCACCCAGGTGCCCCAACACTCATTATATTAAAATGTACTTAGAAATTTGAGATACCACAGACTTACTATGTTGTAAATTTTGTGGGTAGGATAACCTAACCTGGGGTAAATTGGAAGTTTGCACAGTAACTTGAATAATTTTCTACTATTTTGGATGTGGGGACAGCTTGATATATTTAAGATCTTGGGATTTGCCTATCCTGTTTTGTGAAAATGTTCTGAACCCAGTGTGGGAGCCCAGAACAGTTAGTGACATATATTTTATGTCTTCTGTGGAGTCCCAGAAGGGATTCCAGAGATGAGAACTTGAGCTAGGGAAGTAATCAGCCTTCCTTTATTTAAGCAAAAGTGGAACAGTCCACATTTTTCCTCCTGTTTCCTTTTGAAGGCAGAAAATCTGTTAGGTCTTAAGGATATCAAGGCCTGTAAATAGTTCTTAACTTTCAGTCAAATGATCCAAAATATCAGATCAATTGGAATTGGTCTGATATATATATATATATATATATATATATATATATATATATATGAAGGAACAAAGCTACAAAAGAAAATTAGAATCTAGTACAATAAGAAGTAATGAACAGGATAATGAGGAGTCAAATAAAAACTTTAACCATCCTTATTTTTTTGTGAGTTCTGGATATATGTTAGTGGTTAGCCAGCTTCAAATAAATCTGGAGCTGTTTGAGGTTCGTTTGAAAAACTGGGTCTGTCGAGGTGCCTGTTAGCTTTATCTATTACTGGTCCTCAGTAGCAAAGTAGATACACAGGAGTTTGGACTGATAGTGAAAGTGATGTTTGGAAAATTATGAAAATTCTTTTAAAAAGGTTGTTTTCATTAACATAGAAAATGTTTGCCTTAGATATAACACAAAGATGTCTATAAAAAGAAATGTCAAAGATTGTTTTAGCTATTTATTTGCATATCTTCTATCACCTTTGTAGACATCTGTCCATTCTCACGTTTTCTTGTTAAATAATATTTTGATTTTGAAATGTCAAGTTGGATAATTCCCTTCGTGTATTTCATGAGAAATGTTTTTGAAGTTACTAAGTAAGCCCGATTTTATGTCACAAAGATTATTTAACGTCTGTATGCTCTGCTGGAGTATAAGATCTGCAAAGGAATCTATTCTATTTATATCACTTATTATTGTACCTAGATCCTAGCCCAGGTCCTACTGCCTGGTATGCTCCAGATTTTATCTGTAGAATTAATTAATTCAGTATCATGCTTAAACATATTTGAATATTTTTTAATTCATTAAAATTACTTTATTAATAAAAGCAAAAGTGAGATAAATAGGAATGTACAACATTTAAATGAAAGACAAGGTACATGAGCAGAAAGATAGTATGGAAAGAGAATGATAACAGTAGAGGAAGAACTTCTAGTTTCCAAACAGTGCCTGGCACATAGTAGGTCTTAATAAATATTTGGTAACTGATTCAAAAAAATTTTGGTGGTGTAGTAGGTATGAAGCAATGATGATTTTTTAAGAGAATCTTAGAAATAAGAATCTAATTGAATATAAAAGGTATATAAAAGAAATGTGAAAAAATTTGCTAATTATTTAGGATATGTTTTATATGAAATATATGGAAGATTTAACTCAGGACTATGACTTAGGCTCTAATATTCTTCTTAGGTGTTACTACTCTTCATTTAATTGTAAATGCTTTTGTGAGTTTTATGCCAAGCAACCTTAATTTGAATATATTAATGACCTCTCAGATTAAATTTGACTTTTATATATTGAATAATTTTAATTATCTGTAGTGGGCTCTATTAGAACTGCACATTTAATTAATTTAATTTTTTAAACCTTCTGAATTACTTATATTGTTTCTGTGTTAATAAACTTCATGAATATATACATTATATATTTCCAATTTAGTGCTCCGATGCCATACCTGATTGGAATACACTCCAGCCTCATAGAGGTAAGTATCTTTCAGACATGAGATACATGTGTGATAAATTAATGAATATAAATAATAGTTAAAACAGTTGTATTTTGAAAGAGAATCAATTGAATAGTACAAAGTAATGATAAGTTTCATATTTAGGGTATACTTACATGATCATTTTCAGAAATACTGTAGTGGAATAATTTCATTTTAGTTAGTATACTGAATGACCATTTTCAATGGCATGAAACCCATGAAAATATGGTAAATTTGGTCAAGATCATATGGTAAATTTTAAGTATTAAAAACTTAGTCCTTGATGAACCACTTTCTATATGGCACTTGGGATCTTTTATATGTTTCTTTTTCACACCTTATTTTGAAGGTCAGAATTTATGTAGTTATGATTCATAAAGGGAAAATGTTTTTATTTTTCAAACTCCATTTTGATACATTTTGTCAGTGTGCTTTTTCAAAATGTGGTTGGAATATACTAATCATGAAGTTTTAAATTAAAATATAGACTTAAAATATTTTTTAGTTTTCAGTCCTGTTGGGGATTTAGAATGCAGTAAGTTTTTTGCAATGTTATCACTTCATTCCAAAATGACTTTTGTGACTTATCATCACTACGGTGAAAAATGTTGGACTTTAAAGACCTTGAACTTGGAATCAGTGAGATTTCAAGGGAAGACTTCTTAGAAAATTAGAAAAAAATAAACAAAAGATTTGGATCTGAACAAAAGACTTGGGTCAATTGCATGGCATTATTATGCTATCTGATTTTCAGTTTTATATATATATATATGTGTGTGTATATATATATATATATATATATATATATATATATATATATATATATTTTGTGTGTGTGTGTGTGCATATTGTACTTTAAGCCAGTTTCTAATCAACAATCTAAATAAGTTAGATTTGGTTTTCTTATTAGTTGTTGTCACTGTATACACCTGATAAGGAAGATCCTGCTGATTATATTATTATTATATAGGAGTGGTGAGGATCATGTCTGGAGAAATCATGTTCGGATGGTAGTCATGAATTATAGAATTCTGCATGTACTCTCATTCTGGTCACTTTCTCCTTTTGCAAAATGCGAGGGTAACATTTTTATTTGTTTAATCATTAATAATATTGGATATATTTTAATGAACTTCTTTAGTAGACTTGTTTTAAGTTTGAAGTCTAAGTTGAATAACATGAGCCTTTATGTTTGTTAATTTTTAGACAACTTGTTTTACATGCCAAGGTACTTTCAGTGAAAGGTCACATTGTGTATGAATAAGTATTTAATCTGTTATCTGATTGTAGAATATGTAACTGGTATTTTCTTCATCAGTATTTTGACTGTACAAAATCTAACCACGTTGGTTGGTATGGTTTCAGAGAAGTCATCATATCTGATTTTGATATTAATGCACATGTCTCTTCTTATTTGATGTATCTAATAGAATACATAATTTTTATAGTATGTTTACTTGTACAGATGAAAACTATTTAAAGTTGTTTATTGTACCTGGTGATGTTCTGTATTTTTTTACATAATGGTTCTATACCAACTTTTAAAACTAATGATTCAGCTTTTCCAAAATATTATAGAAATGGGTACATGTTTTAAAAATTCAGTCATATTTAATTGCATATTTGTTAGACACGTATAGAGAAAATCATTATTTTTTTAAAGGAGCAAATTTAAGAATTTTTTACTTCTTACAGTATTGTCTTGGAGAAACAGTCCATTCTGATTTTAAATTGAGTCAGCACTAAATGAGAAGGTTTACAGCCATGATTAGATTGGTTAATATCTCTGTATCTTTTATACTCTGGACTTACTGAACTGTCTTTTTAGTCAATTATATTTAGTTTATTGGGTTTAATAGTCAATGAGAAGGGGTAATAGGAACTTCAAGAATGTCTTTAAACCAATTGGGTACCATTTAGTAACTTTCTCCTTAATCTATTACAAGATACACATACTGCCATTCGATTCTTATTATGTCATTATCAGGCAGATATTTTTAAGCAAAATTTGATCTTTCTTATTTTATATTAATGGCATTATAGTTCAAATGTGGATATATCCATTTACAAATTTTATGTGAGACTGAACTGAGTAATTTTTTACATTTTGTTTGGTTGCGATTACAATGAATTTTTTTTTTTTTAGGAAGAATCAACATATTCCCTATTCTCTCTCTTTGTCAAGACAGTTTTGACATACGTTTTAGAAAGACTTCTAAACATAATTGTTCAAAGATGTGAAACTAATATCCTTTAAATCTTTCTTTTAATTATTTTTATGTAGTCATGACTGTAAGATGGCTGGAAATCTCTTTTCTTTTTTTTTTTCAACGTTTTTTATTTATTTCTGGGACAGAGAGAGACAGAGCATGAACGGGGGAGGGGCAGAGAGAGAGGGAGACACAGAATCGGAAACAGGCTCCAGGCTCCGAGCCATCAGCCCAGAGTCTGACGCGGGGCTTGAACTCACGGACCGCGAGATCGTGACCTGGCTGAAGTCGGACGCTTAACCGACTGCGCCACCCAGGCGCCCCGGAAGTCTCTTTTTTTAAATTTTAAATTTGCTTCCAAAATAAAGGATAAGGACATTTTGTTCTCCCTGAAAATTAGACTTTAGGGTTGAACTCAAAGGTCTGTAAATGATGGAGGAGCAAGTCAGTAGAGGCTCCAAGTGTGAGCATTGCATTATGTGTTTTAATATACACAAAAGATTCTAAATAAAATGTTGGCTCCATTTTGCAGGAACATGTGATTGCTGACACCGGGTCATTTCCTTGCATTATCGTACATGATACGATAGTCACATTTGTAGTCACATTGCATGGAAGGCTTATATAGAGAGGATGTGAGAGAAAGACTTAACCAACCTTAATACCTTACTCTTGTCCTTAATAACACTTTCAGTCTCTGTCCTAATATTATTTTCTTATTTTTGAAGAAAAAGTCAAATTTTCCTTTTTCTCTTTCCCGAGCCAAGCAAGCTTACGAACATTATGAGATATAATAATCTGAGACAGAGAAAATGTTATCATTTTATATGCTGTATGAATTTTTATTCCTATTTAGAAAATAGTTAAAGCCTGACTTGGAAGGAAACAAAGATAAAAAAGTGCCATTAATCCAAATAAAAAAATTTTAATTACATACTATTTTTCCCTCTTTGCTAATGTAGAATTGTTCTCATTTTAGTGCATCTCAGTGTATTGATTTATTGAAATTAATACATTTTCCATTCTTATTGAATGGTCCCTTGGACAGAATTTAATATTCAGCTATTCTCAGACATTTTTAAACAAAGGGCAAGTTGGAAAAAAGTATACATTTCATGTTAATACTAATTTTCTTTATTCAGAATTTAACATTAGTGTCATAGCAAAACATTTAGGTGTCACATAACCATTACTCCAGGCTATTTAGAGAAACTCATTTTCATCCTTTAACAAATGCACTAAGTTTCTGGATTAACTTTATAGTTTCTGTTAAAGGGAACAACTTAGAATTGAAGGTGAAAATCAAAATTATGACATACTTTTTCCACCGAACACCATTGATATAAATGTATTGTTGCTTATAAAATAGGCTATTTTTGTAGTTATGCTGTAGTTAATTTATAAATAACTACATATTTATGTATGTGAGCCTTTTTTACATTTATGTATACATATGGAAAGGAAAAGAAATGAGTTTATTTATAAATGTTTTGGTGAGAGTGTCACTATTGTAGGTGGTTCTCTGTTAATTTCCAAGAAACAGCCATCCTCTGACTCTTATTTTGGAATAATTACAATGTCTTTTACAAGATAGATTTTTGCTATCATATATCCCCCTGAGAATCCATATTCTACACAGACATTATTGCTTTGTTAACACATACAAATTCCCTACTCTAGACTACCATTTCCCTAGCAAATTTAACATTCTACCTACTATGCAGAGGTTTGAAGTTCTAAATGGATCAGAGAAGTTTCATTCTTGAATAACTTAAAACAAAACAAAAAAAAAATTGGGTTGGCCAATTTAAAATGTAAGGTATTTAATAATTCTCAAAAATAGCTCTTATTCTATAATGTCATTTAAAAAATACTACACTGAAATTAATTGACTTATCTCTACTTGACCTATACAATTATGGAATTCTGAGGTGATGTATTTCATTAATGAGCACCTCATTTTTTTGCATCAAAAAATAATGCTATATTTGCTATCATTTAAATAAGGTGAATAGAATTATATGATTTGTTTAGGTATACATAGTAGTCTAAATAGGGAAGATAAACCTTAAGTATTTCCTTTCTTTAAGGATGAAAAATTTGATGAAATTCTAATTTACTGTCATTAGTCCACATATTGAGATAATTTGACCATTTAACTAAGCTGTCAAACAGATAAGACAAATCAAATAATCTGATAGGCTATTAAATTTCATCTTTTATATTAAATTCATGTATAAATAATGCAACAATTCCTTATTACCTCTCTCTTTATCATTTTTCTTATTCAACTTACAGTCCTCATAAACAGCTTATACTGAATTGGTATGGAAGTACGGAGAAAATGTTTATTAATTTAAAATTTAGTTTACAGTAGTCATGATTTTTGGCTTATGTTAGCCCCATAATGTGATTTTTGCTAAAAATAGGTGTAGAACTGGCCACAAGTTCCTGTATCATTGGACAGAAATTCAGTTGATAAGTTTTTAAAGGATGTAAGTTTTTCTGGTTTAATATAGCCGTTCCGATTTTGTGAGTTTTTGTTACAATATCTCTTTGGTAGTTAAATTACATTTAATATCTCCAAACTAAATCAATGTGTTTAGATGACCAAACATTCTGTTCTAAGGATTTTTTTATCCAATCTTTTTGAACGGTTGTAGACAAACTTACTTTCTTATAAGGCAAAGTTTTTTATATGTTCTTATAATATAGGATTTTCCTTTTTTATCCCCTAAGGCTAATTGTCATCAAGATAATTTTCTCTACATTTCTAAGTTCATTATAGTTTTGGAAGGAAAATATACTAAGATGTTTATTTGTACTTGTGTTTTTTAAACAGAGAGTGAAAAATAAATCATTGGAGGATGTGGTTATGTTAAATGTTGACACAAACACTTTAGAATCACCATTTAATGACTTGAACAACCTACCAAGTGATGTGGTAAGTCTGAAGGTTATTTTGTGGTGAACACATTATCTATCTATCTATCTATCATCTATCTATCTATCTATCTACTTTCTCCTGGACCCTTGAATTACAAAGAATTATTTTTCCCAGGTTTTTTTTTTTTATCTGCAATAAAAGGACTGAGTATGTGCATGGGTGTGAGAGGAATCAGTGTAGATTCTATATTTAATATTTTTACCTTTTGGCAGTTGAGGAGATGTTGAATGAAACATCATATTCCTATTGTAAAAGTAGGATCATAATTAAAAAGCTAGATGCATTCATTAGGCAGAGTTTCTTTAAACGTAAGTCTCTTCATCTCATCTTAATCATTATATTACAAAGTAGGCATTTCTGTCTGCCTAGTGGCATGTCTTGCAAAAGAATGAGAGAGTTTTTGAAGGCAAGAAGAAGAAGGGGGCCAATTATCGGCTTTTGCTTCCCTGCCACCTGCCAGTGCTTTTCCTTTTAATTAATGATCTGATGGCACTGGTCAATATAATAAGAAATGCTTGTACAGTTGGGGTCAGAAAATTCTGGCTTTGATCTCCCTCAACTTTCTGAAACATTTATTTGTTTTCTCTAAATTATTTCAGTTTTATTTTAATCTTTTCTATCCTGCTGAGGGCCGCAAGAATGAAAACCTACACTGTTTGTCATTTGCTTTGGCAGAGCAAAGACTGCTTACTTAGAATTCTATTTGTAAATTAAACTGCAAACCCAGTTTGTCATAAAAGACATCTGATCCTTTTGAAATGACGAAAACTGTCTTTTGTCTGTAAAGGCTGATAAATTAAGTGCCAGTTCTCTTCTGCTCTTTGATCTTGCAGAGGGTTTGTGTGTGTGTGCATGTGTGTGTCTGCAGCCTATAATAGGATATACTCTGTATTTCATGTTAAATAGTCTCCAAAAGTGCATTTTTGGCCTGCATATTCCTTAGAACAGGGCAAAATGCAGGCTAGTGCTGTTTCTGTATATATTTTAATGGCTATTTAAAAATATCTTTATAACATAGTTCTAAGTTAAAAATAACTCTCCTTTTAAAAAAATCCAGTTTTTTCAGGAATATTAAAATCCATAAATAAAAAAACCTTCATCATATATTTTTCTGCATTATTGCAAGTACTTTGAAATCATTATTAGGGAGTTTGAAAAAGTGAATTTAAAATCTTCAAACTCAAAAAATACAGTAATACTAGCTTTGATTGTTTTTATGGCTAGTGATAGGAAAAATGTGATTTTAAAGTTAAAATCAGATTATCTATGCCCATAAATAACCTAAAATACTTGCTGACCTTGAAGCAAATTAAATTGAACTACTTTATCTTACTGTAGTAAAATTTATGCTATGTATGAACAAATCCAAACCCAGGCCAGTAAAGAATTATATTATCTTTTTAGCTCATTATAACTAGATTGCCTCATTATAAAAATTTTGCAGAAGCTGCTAGAAATGATTAGAGTTATTCATTTAGAAATCCATCAAAGAATTCTTCATTGGATAGAAAACTAATTATGATATAAAGCCCCAACTTTTATAAATATTTTCTTTATGTGCAGTGCATTTCCACTGTTAATTCCCTAAGTAGAAAGGGTTGTTTATAAAAAAAAAAAAAAGAAGAAGAAAAAGAAAAAGAAAAATGAGAAAGAAATCAGCTTTTTTTGTGTCATAAAAATTGTTATAGTCAGTCAGTGGTAGCTAATTTCATCTCTTTGAGAAAAGCAATTTTTAATAGTAATTTTTTTTGGTGGGTGGTTCTTTTTTAATTGAGAAGTGCTACTTTCCCAGTAGAATTAGTTTGATACCAAGACATTTATTTTAAAATATGACGAAGTTTAACAGTTCCACAAAATATAAAAGCCTAAATATGTGAAATGACAGGAGGGACCATCTCATTGCTCGTTTATAAGGAACAGTTAACTGTACGTAAATGAAGTAAAAAAAAAAATCTTAAAAAGGAACTCTGCAAAGTGAGGTAGATATAACTATACGTATACTTGAGATTAAGGGCCCGAGACTTACAGACAGGTTTGAACAACGAATAAGTGGATACAGCTCTGGGGTGGAACCAGGGCCATCTACTGAAAGTATGAGTTATTTTAAAGTTATAGTCATTTTCTACAAATACTTTAGGTGGTTGTTTGTTTAACCCCTCTCTAATAAATTTAGCTCTTTCCATCCATTTTCCAAAAGCTGTCTCTTGTAGTTTTACAGGAAATATGGTAAAGTATCACATCATACTTTCTATAATTGTCAGTGTTTTAAATGAGATGTGTTAGAGTCACAAATGATCTTACTGAATTTTTTGTGTTGTGATCTGAATTAAGAGAAAATATTCTTGAATCCTGAAAAATACCCTGAAAAAATCCTGGTACTGTTTGATTATTTAATAAATTAACTCATATTTAAAAGGGGACCTTTTAAAATCATTCACCAAAGCATTTAAATTATACTTACAGGCTAGAGGACTTTCTATGCATGTGCACTCTATTATTGTGTCAGCCTGACCAGTGGTCTTGGCTGTTCAAAGGTCAGTGGTCACAGTTGTCCTGAATTACTAGTTCTTTTTTCCTGTGGACCCTCTGCTGTGTTGCATGCTGTAATCTTCTTAATGGCTTCATTCCAATATTCACACATAATATTTTAGATTTATTGACTGTTAGAAATACTACCATGCCAGTAGCAGTTCCGCTACTCTTAAGGTATTTAAAATTGGAAAAATAAATCAGGGCAAAGCTTTCAGGAATCCTTTGTTTTCCTTAAGGGAAGGGAAAAAACTCTCTTCCTGTCTTCTGACAAGAACACTTGTTTTTCGATTTCATCATTTCACTATAGATTTGGATCATTAAAAGAAAAAAAAACACAAACTTTATTGAGAGTGATTTTAACGATATTGATTATTACATGGAATATCTTAAAAGCAGTAGACCCATTAAAATATACTTTTGTAGTTTTCTGTCTAGATACATTGTGATTTTACTTTTAGTGGCTATGTCAACTGTAGATACCTTCAAACATGTAGGTCGAGTGTCTTGAAATAAAAAATAAATTTGAGGGCTATGTAATAATATCAGTTGAATTTAGTGTTATCATGCTATGTTTTTAACTGTGGGGAAAATGAAACAGCTGAATTAAATACAACATTTGAAATTTCAAGTGATGAATTCTTTTTAATTTTAGAAAATTTACCATTGAGACTCCTTCATTCCAAATATATACACAAATTTTGTTTCAATCACGTAATAGTTTGAAATGCCGTATTCTAAGGTATTACTGCTCATTTTAATTTTTATCATCATTAATATTTTTAAAAGTAATTTGGGGAATTCTTAACTATTTCAAAAATAAATAGGACAACTCACTTCTTAGAAAATTAAGCTAATTAGAATTATAATGAGATTTAGGAGATCTCTTTGTGAAAAAATTAAAACAATTACAAACTCTTATAGATGAAAGCAGGTTAGAACTGACATCTGAAAAAGTTACATGCACTAAAATACCCATTACTAGGAAGTGAATTTTTATCTTTGTTGCTTTATTGTCTTTAAATAATTTTAACTGATTAGGTTTTAAATACTATACTCTCAGGTCAATATAGTTATCCCTATTTTAGATAAGAAAATGAAGACACAAAGTATACTGTTAACAGTATTTCTGCAGCGTTAGTTCATATTATAGGTTCATCCTCTCACACTTAGACCACGGTCCCTTTCGTATAAACATTCATCCCCTCAAATACTAGACCGTGGTCCTTTCGTATAAACATGATATACAGCGTAATGAGTAACTGTTCTGGAATTTACTGTAGAATCATATTCTCTGTTCTAATCTTGCTTATGAAGTATCAGTGTGATCTATTTGATTTAAATCAGGGTTGTTAACACTTTAAAAAATTTATTTTCATCTTATATGGAACACTACTGGAAAATTATTTTTTTATTTTCTATTATGAGAGTATATAGGAAATATACACTTCAGCATTATTGTACAATTCACCATAGACCCTGGTATGTTACAGGATAGCTACATTTAGTATAAAGCGTATTTAATTACTAAAATTTTGAAAATACTTTATTATAAAATGGAGTCATCTAAAATACTGTGCATCTTATAGTGACGCTTTCAAGTATCACGTGAAGGAATAGGTTAATGGTTTTATTGTGCAATGAAAAGACACAAATTGCTCTGAATCGCCAAAAATCATTAAAAGCCTAAACTTAAGGAAATACCCCAAAATTCCAACTTTAAGAAAACATTTAAGATATCTACATTTGAGTGAGTTAATTTAGGAAAAATTTGGAAAAGAATTGGCTATTTCAGAGAATTTTTAAAATCAGCCTTTTTTAAACAAAATGAAAGTATAGAAACCAATTTAACTCTTGCAACTGTGTGAATAGCTAATAGATATGTTTAATTTGTTGGATATTTCCTCTAACCTAACATGAAGGTTTAATATGTTGAATTGTCATAATATATGTTAAAAAGAAAAGACCCCAGAGAATATTATATTAGTTCCAGGTTTGCCACAGCTCTGCTGTAATTCTTATCATGTTTAACAGTAAATAAATTCCCCAGCAAAATTCTAGAGTGGCAAGGTTAGAAAGATAACCCGATTTCATTCAGGTTCTAGAGTAACTTAGACAACGTTTTTGTTAATCTTGTTGTTGTTGTTTTGTTTTTGTTTTTGTTTCTTTTTTTTAGTTTAATAGAGTAGACTTCCAGAGACAAATACTGCTTTCAGTTTCCCCCTCGAGAAATGCAGTCATAGTCCCCTCAGTCTTCAGCTGTTAGAATTCAGGCACCTAGATGTGCATTGCCCCCACCACACAGCCTAGTGCAGAGCTTTGTAAATAGTAGGCATTCGGTAAATGATGGGTGAAGGGAACCATAATTGCTTTTGTTTCATCTTTTGTTATAAAAGTTGCTTTTAAAATCCCTGTTTAGAGTTACGCAGAACATTTTATAAGGATATTTTCATCTGACTTTCATAGTA